CCGAGGTTGGACTTATTCTTGTATCTACTGGTGGACTATCAGTCCCCGAGGTTGGCCGTATCCTTGCAGTTGTATCTACTGGTCGACTATCAGACCCCGAGGTTGGCCGTATCCTTGTATCTATTGGTGGACTACCAGTCACGGAGGTTGGCCGTATCGTTGTATCTGCTGTTGGACAATCAGTCCCCGAGGTTGGCCGTATCCTTGTATCTACTAGTGGACTATCAGTCCCCGAAGTTGGCTGTATCCTTGTATCTACTGGTGGACTGTAAGTCCCCGAGGTTGGCCTTATCCTTGTATCTACTGGTGGACTATCAGTCCCCGAGCTTGGCCGTATCCTTGCAGTTGTATCTACTGGTGCACTATCAGACCCCGAGGTTGGCCGTATCCTTGTATCTACTGGTGGACTATCAGTCCCCGAGGTTTGCCGTATCCTTGCAGTTGTATCTACTGGTGGACTATCAGACCCCTAGGTTGGCCGTATCCTTGTATCTACTGGGGGACTATCAGTCCCCGAGGTTGGCCGTATCCCTGTATCTACTGGTGGACTATCAGTCCCTGAGGTTGGCCGTATCCTTGCAGTTGTATCTACTGGTGGACTATCAGTCCCCGAGGTTGGCCGTATCCTTGTATCTACCGGTGGACTATCAGTCCCCGAGGTTGGCCGTTTCCTTGCAGTTGTATCTACTGGTCGACTATCAGACCCCGAGGTTGACCGTATCCTTGTATCTACTGGTGGACTATCAGTCCCCGAGGTTGGCCGTATCCTTGTATCTACTGGTGGACTATCAGTCCCTGAGGTTGGCCGTATCCTTGCAGTTGTATCTACTGGTCGACTATCAGACCCCGAGGTTGGCCGTATCCCTGTATCTACTGGTGGACTATCAGTCCCTGAGGTTGGCCGTATCCTTGTATCTACTGGTGGACTATCAGTCCCGAGCTTGGTCGTATCCTTGTATCTACTGGTGGACTATCAGTCCCTGAGGTTGGCCGTATCCTTGCAGTTGTAATTATAAGTTACAATATCTTCTCCCAATATACGTTTAACTGACATCACAATAATGATAATAAGTATATACAATTGTCATTTCAATTTTAGCTCAAAATCTCTTGCTAGATTTAACAAAGTTGTGCACATTTCTAAAAATATTCGTGTTAAGGTCCACGGAAAATTGTTAATTGGTAAACAAAAATATTTCCAAATTTAACGCAACATTCAAATTATTTAAATTTTGAACCGGAATACGTCTTTCGCTTTTGTAATAAGGTGACATTCCATAAAATAGTGAAAGACATTCTCACAAGGATGGACACAATTGCAAGCTGCACTCCCAACAAGGTTCACTCTAAAGAGGTCGTAATTAAGGGAACTGCACTGGTGTCGGAGCTTAGTATGCAAACTGTTAAGTTTACGATTTCAGAATTTAAAGTAAATAGGTGGACTTGACTGAATATTTGATGTTAAACAGGATCTCAATGAATTTATAGAGGGCAAGGATCGAACCGAATTTTCGAAATTATTCCAACAATGAAGAATAGAAGTTATAAAAGAGTTCTTGAAATGAAAACACATATTAATGCGTTTGTTTTTGCTTAAAATGATTGAATTTGTTTTCAGACAAATTGGTTATTTATAAAAAGTTGCCAATAGTCATAACCTATACTTTTATAAATCTAGTGAATGTGAATGTGTAAACCACTCTCTCATATGATATCCCTTACTGTTGTGTGTGAACGTATAAGTCAAACCCTGAACACCAGTATTTTATGTATATGTCGCAGAACAATTATTGCCAGGAAGATAAATATAAACGCAGATGTTTGATTTATTTCAATCTACTAAACCATAAAGCCCACATACAAGCCCACTTACTGGTTTGATAACATATAAATACATGTCACAGACTAAATTCAAAAGTACATAAAACATAAATACATGATAACGTCATATAAGAACAATATTTAACTGTTTTTGTAATAATAACGTCATGCATAAGTAACATGTAAATATTGTTTATAATAAAAGCGACATGTAAGAACAAAACTATTGGCAGAAAGACGTATCCAGTTTGTAGAAGTAAATAAATCCTTTATTGAGAATAAAAAACACGGTTCGTAAAATAACATCAGACTGAGTGAAATGGATTTATGCAAATCTGTGTCATTTCCATGTCAGCGTATTTAGTAACCGTGTAAAATACTTTCAGATTGAACATTGAGAAAGCTAAAACTGGGCTGACACCTAATTAACACTGTTTTCTTTATATCAATACAACCCTTGTTGGATAAACACGATAGTCCACCGGCAGAGAAAGTTTGCTGATGTTTGATAGTATGGCACACCTCGAAAAAGGGAATATGTGGTCACCCTTCTCTCCACCCCTTTGATCCACCCGTACTGTTAAGTAATACTGTGCATGCTACAAGTATTGACATATAGAATATGTAAACAGACGGGCTTACATGTAAGTAGGTTATTAATGTTATGTTGGATCTATATTTAGATTCCAGATGTTATCAGAACAGCCTTGGTCATGAACAATACTAACAATCAATACAGTACAAGTTAGCATTATACAAACGTATATGCGTTGTAGGTATAAACACAGCTACAATCCATAAAGTGATGTTAATATGTATTTTTTTTTAAGTTTCTGTAACAACAAGATAAATGTTAGATAAAGTAAGGGCATTGTAAGCAGATAATTATCCTTTCGCTTTGTGGATTTAGGGAATTTAAATGTAAGAGTAGGGAATATAGGTCTGTCCGATACGACTGACATCTTTCTGATAAATCAAGGAGTTTTCCTTTTATAAAGATATAAACATATAGCATAGGTTTGACCACGTGATGATCTTACTATGTCTGTGCACAGTCATTAGTTCCAGGTATTATATGGAAAGCAAAACTATATATAATGACTGCATCTTTCAACTGTACCGAGGGAAAGGTTTCTTACATAATAAAAAGTGTTGCGATTACTTTGATACAGGCAAATGAAATATGTGTATATATTGTTTAATATCTCTGATATACTGTATAAACAATACACAAAACGGAAGTAGATTTACTGATATATCAACGGACATGGCCGCAACAAGGAAGTAAAAGGTGGGGCTTGAATGCAGTTATAACCGTTGATAATTCAAATTTAAAATGTCTTACAGGCAAGATTTAGATGGCAGGTTATTGTGTTGATTCGCAGACGACAGACACGACAACATGGAGGTACAGTGGAACAGTATGTAAGCATGAAGTAGAGGGTAATAGGGGTAATGCTAGGATATCGGATGTTACTGCAAATCTATTTCTGTATAATTAGGAAAATTAGCAACATTACTGGTGGATGCATAACTTACAACCCGAAGTGGTGCAAGATTTTCGTATTTGCTAACCGCACGTTGCTTGTTGTTTGTACCAGTATTTCAAGTAATGCACAGTTAATGAACGACATGTATGTAATGTAACTAATTGTTAGGATAATGGTTGTATAATGCAGGTGACAAAACAAAGACTGTTGTGAACGCTGTTAACCATTTCAAAATAAAATTTAGAATGGTTTAAAAAAATATAGACAAGATTTAGATGGCAGGTTATTGCGTTGATTTGTGGAGGACAGACACGACAACATCGCGGTACAGTGGAACTATATGTAAGCATGTAATAAAGAGTAACAGGGATAATGCTAGGATATCGGATGTTTCTGCAAATATATTTCTGTATAATTTGGAAAATAAGCAACATTACTGGTGGATGCATAACTTACAATCCGAGGTGGTGCACGATTTCCATATTTACTAACCGCACGTTGCATGTTGTTTGTACCAGTATTTGTAATGTAACCAGTGTTGTGTAGTGCACTTGATAAAATAATGACTGTTGTGAATGTTCGAATATATACATATTAACAATTATCAGTCGTGTTAGTTTGTATTCCACAATCTACATATATCAAATCATGATTATCTGTATCGTATCTCAACACATTTCAAAGTTTAACGTATGAACTAACAAACAATGAATGTGCCGTGTTTAAACAAATAGCTACTCTATGTGTAATTAGCGACTGGATATTTCCCACGTATTGATTGCAACAGAATGCAGAAGATTAAGTATTTTATAATATAAATGTAAACCGGACTACTAAACAGTGGGTTATTCTCTACATTAACGTTCTATATTCTGAGGATAAACTATAGCAGAAAGGTTGTGTATAAATAGAACGTACGTTTGAAATTAAGATACAAGATACAAGAACATCTACTTACCGTCGCATACCATAAACATACAAACATTAGCTCGGTAGAGTTATTTCTGAGACAAACATAGGTATAACTTAAAACAAACAAAAACAGCATGCACAATTAACATAAGCCTAGCTACAAGAAATAAAATATGGATTAGCTAAATAAAATGCACTAAGTTAAAAACAATGCATGTATATATTTATAAATTCTTAATGTATACAGGTATATCATCTTCTATAGTCTATATCATGTATACGTTCTGCTCTGTGTAACGTGTCCAAGGTTGACTGCAGTAAAAAAAGTTTATCTGCTTTGCTATCGATAGTATCCGTTGAAATCATGCCCGTATAATATGTACATACATGCATCCTACAGCGGTGAGTGTTCTCAACGAGAAGTCTGATATATAGTCATCGATAAACAAATTAGGCATGTCACTGTAACAATACAATAACCCTTACAAATTCAATCATTATGATATATTAAACAGCCACATCATAGAAACCAACAATACCGAACATTCTGGTGCAGTCCCCATGCCCTTGTACCTCACGGACCTGACAGACAAATAACTAACAGTTAACGAATAGATGAGTAAACCTGATAAATATCACGTACCCTAAGTGGTTTGTTTATCTCAATAAATGCATTTCATCAACATCGTACATAACTTCAATGTGTCATATATAACCCTGACATTGTCAGCTACATGACTGTAAACAAATGACTCGGATCTATAAATAGAGCTAGTGGGTATTTCCGGTTAGAATATCTACAAAGTGGTTTGTAAACAGTGTTTTACTGCAGTCAAGCTTGGATACCTTACGCAGCATAGAACGTATGTATGATTTACACTATAGTCGATGAATTACTTGTATATGTATTCTGCTGTTGTAGAATCTACCGACTGTAGTCAGATTCCTATACAATCAACAAATAAATTCACGCCTGGATTCTTCACAAATTCGAACTTTGTCTTTTCTCTCTGCTCATCTAACTTCCAAAAATAACTCCCTCGTGGAGGACAGGGTCGGATTCACGGTGTTCACTGTATTTATCCATGCGCAAAATTTGTTCCGGGGAAAAAAATTCGAAACAATTTCAAATCTAACTTTCAGCTCAGATTTCTATTGATAAACTTAAATCACCATATAGACATATCATACGCAATTGTATTGTCAATGAAATATGGAATGAAATTGAAGAGTTTGTTAAAATTTCAAAGTATTACTTTGTTTGCCAATAAGCACGCGACAACACGCTGTTCCAAATATTGAACGAATTTGTGTGGACTGTCGATAAGGCGGGAAGTTTAAATTTTAAATATAAAGTGTAAGTTAAAAAGAACATGAAAGGCAGAGAAAACGTAAATATCGCGCGCATTATGTTGTTTGCTAGCAAAGCTGTGTCATTCAAATAGATCATAAATACCATACAAAAACAGTTCAATGCTTAAATACATTAAGAATGTATAAATAGATACACGCATTTATTATGGTGTTGTATTCCTCAGTTATATACACATTTATGATTGATATGCTGATGTTTGAGTGATTAATTATTTCTCTTTGTAGCGAATTCTGTTGACATTATGCCAAATTACATTGCCATCCTCAGTTTCTGTCCAAGTAATTAAATGATGCATTGTACCAATACACTTTGTTGAACAGAGTAATCACTAACTTTAGTAAGTTTTGTGCCGAGAGTTTATTTGAGATCCCTTATGCTGTAATGAGTTTTGTTTTTCTTTACAGAATCAGTCGGCGACAAAATATTTTAGAAAATGACTGGACGGCGAAAGTCCGCATATGATTTGTGCCTTCACAAACACGATGTCATTTGTGATTTTATGTACAATCTGTTGCCATGTCGCTACTTTGAAAGAGACAAGGTAAGATAAAGTGGATCAATTAAACGTGCCCTGCATGTTTTTGTTAATACAGGGACACATTTTCATGTCCATGTCACACAAAGGCCTAAAGGATAATTGCACTGAAAACTGTAAAACAAAACTTTTTCATTTTGACATAACTTTATCTTTAATGAAACAATTCTGAAAAAGAAACCATAACTTGCGTGACTTTTATGAAAAATAGAAATAAAGATGATATAACAAAATCTCATCAACGCAGTATTTTTTGTGTAAAATTTCAGCAAAGCCAGAGCAGGGTTGGAACCCTGGACCTCAGATTGTCACACTGCCTCTGAACTTAGCTACCATAACAACGGACGTTTCGTGGTCAAATTGCGCTACATCAGAAACAAAATGAATTGGATGTCGCTGTATATACAAAATCAAAGTGGAGTTCAAATAGTATTTTGTCTGAAGTTTGACAATGATCCTTCTTTCATATCACACGAATATGTAAAATTAAGTCATCGAAATATCATAAACAAATGTACACCTTAAAGCATTTCACAAGTCTTAAATCATAACAAAAATAAATACTCTTCAATCATCATTATAAAACCTTTTACTTGTTGTGACTTGCAGAATCACTTATTACTTATTTCCTTCACTTTCAGATTCAGAGTGATCCTACTAACAGCAAAGGCATTATGTGAGATAGTGATCAGACATGGATAACTACTTGTCTAGACTTGCCACGTTCTTTTCCTTCCCGTTCACATCACCTGTTTCAACAACTTCTCTGGCCGAGTCAGGTTTTCATTATACTGGAAATAAAGACGAGGTTGCTTGTCATCGTTGTCTGTTGAGATATAGTGGGTGGCAGAGACAGGACAATCCAATGGCTATCCACATTACGATGTCTCCTAATTGCACATTTGTGTTAAAGGCAAATGACGAAGTGTGTAATGGCAGTCACTGTAACTTTTCTGTTGGTGATGTAAGTCCACAGGAGAAAATAGAATGCAACGGTGGTGCCATCGGCGGACCATTGGATGGTGCTATGAACAAAACAAAAGGGTTAATAAAACAAGACAAGACTGTTTCTGGCCAACAGTCATCAACTGTAAGTTACCGGGAAACTGACGATTCTTTGTTCGCAACGAGAAATGCTAATTTTCCGCACAAAGTGATTGACTCTAATCTGACACCATCATCAGATACTATTACTTCATCTACGAGTCAAACCCTGACCAATGAACATTCCGTTGCAGAATTCGACGCGTTGAGCCAAAACATACCTGATCGTTTAACAGGAGGGCATAGTGCACAACCTCTTGTGCACACGAATCGACCGGAAACCGACTCACTGGAACCTGAGATCCATAGATCCGGAGAGGACATTCCTAATACTATAAGGACAGGTCATGCTCCTGTTAATAATCTGGAAACCAATCATGACATTTCCTCTCAAGCATCGCAAGCGCTGAACGCAGTCAACCCGCGCTATCCACAGTTTGCAGTACTTGCCGTACGGTTTACATCATATAAAAATTGGCCAACACATCTAAGGCAAAAACCGGAGGAACTAGCAAAAGCTGGACTCTTTTATGAAGGTAAGCAAACATGTGAATATTTTGTATTTCGTGATTGCAACAAAGAAAATATTGAACGTTAAGTATTCGTTCAATGGGCGGATTGGTGGAGTGGTTAACAATCCGGCCTTCCACGCCGGCGGCCGGGGTTCGATCCCAGAGGTCGTCGTACGCATGGATATTCAGAGAAAGTGTTTTCCCCCTGTGGAGTATCCCATGTGGAGTATAGATTGGTCTGGGGTGGATGTTGCGGTATCTGTGCAGTAGCATTCAAGTGAGATGGCACTATAAATGATGCCGTTGGAAGCACGGCACCACTACAAACAGAACACATTAAAACTCCAGCACACACGCAGGCATACACACATAGAGAGATATTAGTCACGTGGCTTAGGACAGTAGTTAGCGCCTAATAAGGCAGCTCCTGCGAATTCCTAAAAGATTGTATTGATTAAATGTATATATACTAATTGTATTAATTGTATATCTATGTACTGTACAGCGCTTTAGGGTGGCTTATGTTAGCTAGATAAGGCGCTATATCAAATACTGTATAGTATTATTATCCTCAACAACGTTATGTCATTTTCAAACATTTTCTTATCGTCTTTGTTTATTACTATCGCAATACTTTATGTATAGGTACCAGCGACTACGTAAGATGTTTCTACTGCGCAGGAGGTCTACGTGAATGGGAACCAGAAGACGACCCCTTTATTGAGCATGCCAGGTGGTTTCCGTTCTGTGAGTTTATGAGACTGATAAAGGATGACCAGTTCATTATGGCGGTTCAAGCAGGAACAATCAAAGCAGCACCCCAGGTAGCTATAAGATCTGGACAATTACAATTACACTGTCTAAATCCTTATTGGCAGCTCTTAAAGACACATTTTCTTCAGTATACAAAATATATATTTGTGTAATTGTCTTCATATTTATATATATGAGCGTATAGTGAGTGAAGTAGCGTATAGTGAGTAAAGTATTTACTTTGATTGGTTTTCATCATCGTTTTAGTTATTTATAAATAGTTGCTTCCTTGGTAAATTTTTCTTACCGATATGAGAGTAATTCACTACAATTGGATATGTTTGTTATATTCTTCATAACATAGCAACATAGCAAACACTTAAAATTTCATCAAAAATTCGACAGGAACAATCGCAAAAACCCGAAGCACCGAAAACGAAATATTCGTTCGATGATCCAGCTGTCCTTAGTGTAATGGAAATGGGTTACAACGAAGAAACCATAGCGAAGGCCATCAAATTATTCAGCAAACGACAAGGTAAGTTTTCTCGCAATTATCATTATGTCAAACAGTTACACGACTGACGGGGATGTTTATTTCAGAATTTATGTAAAAGGGGTGCTACTTATTTCATAGACTGAGAACCGTACAATAATTGCGGAATATTCCAACACCTACCTGATATCTGCTGACACTAAGTGTTAAGGTTATTTTGATATGAGCAACGTAAGCTTATATTATTATTATTGCTTAGTGTGCATGCAATCCGGCAGTTAGTCTGAGAAGTCTGGCCTTAAAACAAAACTTATACCACTAGTGTTCTAATAAAACGTCTAAATTGTATATTTTAGTTCTGGAAAACAAAATGAAATTTAATAATCCTTAATTAATGAATGGACACTGTCATCACATTATGACCTCAGATTGGCTAATATAGAGCAGTATCTTAGGGGAATAGTTTTCTTATAATACGTACGTGTTACATGTCATAGACGTACAGAGACTGATTCCTCTTATATCCTCACCAGGTAAGACACTGAGTGCTGAAATACTACTGTCTCTTGTTTGGGAGATAGTGGAAAATGACGGGGTTGTCTCCGATGAAGAGCATGGCAGTAGGGCAAATGAAAATGTGCCTGACGTGTTACACGGAGAAGTTGATGATAAAAACAGAGACAACGGTGTGTCTTTCGGAGAAAGCAGAGTAGAGGGTGAGTATCCGAAAACAATACACATTTATTTCAAACGTGCTTGTTGATTACAAAATATGTGAAAGAATATCCTTCGTATTAAAAATAGTAAAATGTATCATGTTTTAAAAATGGATAGCGCACACGTTGTTTTTACCAAAACGGCCTGATTTTGATTCACTGTTTCGACAGATACACGTTTTAGTCACGTATCAAACCAAGTGAGTTTAATGTGGGTACTTAAGTTTCCTCTCACGTTAAGACCCCCTTTTGTGCTTCAATCCGGACCAATAACTGTGATTTATAGGATTTGAAAAACTCGTTAAAAAGTTCTTGTAAAATTTGTTTATATAACGTACGATTGTTTTACAGTGTGCTAATAAGACGTGGGTTCATCTCTCGTTGTCAGGAGCAACTCGTGTCAGATATCTGAACAAAGACTTCAAATATGTTTATTTCGATACACAACCTTATTGACAGAATCGATTATTCATAGCAAATTCATGATTCCTGTTTATTTGATGTAAACATTTACCAAAGAAATTCGTTTTGGTTTTATTGCCACAGATGTAGTTCAGCTTCAAGAGGAAAACCAAGAATTGCGAGACAGGAAGACATGCAAGGTGTGTCTTGACGAGGAAGCTAGTATCGTGTTCCTTCCGTGTGGTCACCTGGTCACTTGTCCGATGTGTGCTTCAGCCTTGAGGAAGTGTCCAATATGTCGGACTTTTATTAGAGGAACTGTAAAGGCTATTGTATCCTAACCGAACTTCAGTGTATTTGCGAACTATCAGTAGTTTTAATATCTGCCTCATTGGCTGATCACCTCGCTTATGTTTAACAGCTGTTTATCGGAAAAGGAGTGGACTGTTCAGAACATGTTTAACCTCATATATATATTATGTATATGTATTGGTAAAGAAGTAATAACGATAATGTTTAGAATATTTCTTTCGGTTTTTGGGGATTAGGTGTTTAGGTCATGTGTTTTTTTCGGCGTGTTCTGTAATAGGTTAGGACACCAGCTATTATTGTTCTAGCTATGAAGGTGTTAGTCTAATGTAAAACCATCTAAACGTTCTATTTATGTATTGTAATATAGATACAATTAACGACTTGATCAACATGATGTGATATTCAGACGTGTAATAACTTTTAGATATTTAGTAGGGAAAGTTTATTATTTCAACTGTTTTACAAAATATTGGACAGTTAAACAGGTGTTAGCGAATAAACGCGGGTTATTGATGTTAGGTCCATATGTCATCTTTAAAATCATTCATCAAAACCGTGTCGTTACATACCGGTGATATGACCACGCGTGTATTTCATACACGCGCAACCTTCTATGGTTTTAGCGTTGGCCTTCTTATTTTCATAAAATAATCGTATTGAGGACGAATCGTAACAGTATATACATGAAGTTAGAAACGTGTGGACAAGTTAAAGTCAACGGTGAAGACAATTTTATGATGCTACAATAGAGACACCGGAAACGTTCCTATTTCCGGGAATTTTTCGAAATATGCACCCTGTACATCAAAATACCGAACTCCAGTGTTTTGTCAAGAAAAATATGCTACTTATTAAGCACTTTTGGCCTAAAATACCTCCCTTAAACTTCCATAGTGCTTGAAATAAGTTACGTCACATTTCGCCGTACTTTGACCCGCATTTTGCCAGTGTTGCAGTTTGCGGCACAATTCCATCCCGACAATACTGTCGCTACCTTCAGTGAAGATAGCGAACAATACTTACAGGTATGTGGTGTGTGGATTAAAGATTACAACTTTCGAAATCCAAAATGTGCGCTTTCGGTAAACGTATTTACTCTGCAACCTTCGATTTTCGCATGACAAAGCCGAAGGATTCGGATGAGCTATTTGATTTGTTCAATGTATTCAAAACTGACCATTTTTAAAACATCTAGACAAATGATATATTTGCTTTGAAAATCGTCAAAGAGCTAGTCTTGTGATCAAACCAGGTTCATTTACCACAGCTATGCCATGGTATTAATTTTTATCTTCAATCATAGATCCATNATATACTCTACGTCATCGGCGAATCATGCATGAGTATATATAGATTCTATCTTTATGTGACTATGGTACCCTTACATGTACCTTGTGTATAATGTATATGATTTTATTTATTCCTTATATTGAAATGTGTTCGTGTAACATTGGCTTCAGTTAACACATACTATCACATCGGTCTATTTCACGGGACCGAGGTCGATGCATAATATATAAGTATTCAGTGCATTTTTGTCGCATTTTGTTCAATATTTTTCAAATTCGAAATTCGCAACAAAAAGAGAAGATAAATTTTGGTCTCATTTTCTGTACAAAAACTCGAAACAATGAACGCCCTTATCAAAATATGCATACATTTGCTGCATTTAGTAAAGTGTATTGTTTTAAAGCGACAGCTGTCTGTGCTCAAGTCTGTCTTATTTGTTAGAGTAGGCAGCAATATTTCATACGGATACTTTGCATTGCACATATGGTTTCTGCTTTTGTTTCCTTTCCTCGTTCCAGTTGATCGATATACATTACAATTTCTGAACTGGTATACATACATATATGTTCTAGTTTAAATTAGTAAGTAATGCTTCATAGGAGGGAGCGCTTTGTGTCTTATTTAGGCTTCGAGGCTGACTAAAAACTGTACATCAATGATACTTCAAAACTTTTCAAATGTAACTATTATATAATACATGTTTACTTTTGGTGATCTAAATTGTGACATGAATACTTTAAATTTCGAGTGCCACACTTTAAATGTAAACATGATATCGACAAACAGGTTTGTATAGTGTTAATTTTAAACTAAATGTAATGTGTTTACTCAAAATTGCCGACTGCATAGGTACACACATAGTACGACTTGGCAATAAGCCAGATCGCACTTGCAGGGGTGTACAGGTTTACTTGTCACCGTTGAAGCAGGTACATTGACCTATTGCGTGGATTACTATAAAAGCAGGCATGTTCTGCTGTAGATCACAAGTAATATAACTCAAATGTGGCCTCTTGAAAGGCTGTGAAAACTAAAAGCAAATTAGATATGATAACTATTCTGTTATATACTTCGGAAAAGTAAAAACAAATACACAGAAATATAGCAAATGAAACGTTAGAGCGGTTTATCCTATGTACATGATTAGAGATTTACTGATAATTACTGTCTTTAAAAAAGAAGTAATTAACTGTTATAACCTCGGCACATTTACATACCGTATACATGAAGACCTTTATTAACTTCTAACATATTTTTTTATGTTAACCTACTTCCATGTAATGCACACAACTATTTAGATTTGTTTTCTCATCAGTCTTTGAAATCAATATACTATTCAATGACACATTTATATATAATGTTCAATACATGTATGATCAGTAATCCAAGTATGTTGAATAAAGACGTTTTTTTCAATCAACATATTATTGTTGATATTGTTATTTTATTGACATCCACAGACAGATGGAAGTGAACATTTTAAAGTACGTGCAAAGAAAATCAAAACTGAAAAAAAAAATATCTTTTATTTTCTTACAACCCACAAAACATCAACATGTGTTCAGTTGTGAGAAGGAAATGTGAATTTTATTTGGAACACCACCTTGCGTATGAATAGAAATTGAAGTTACTGGTTATGCAAATAATTAACAGTGACAGATGACCGTGGGATATCTAATGGAATCAATTTCAAGTGTTGTTAAATGCAATTTTAAATCTAAGTCATACAAAATATTCATGGCATGCTCTACTTCCATTTTCAGAAACGTGTTCATATAAGCTGTGCATAAAATCTAAACGGTTTATCTAAAACAATTGTTTATGCTACTGCTTTGGGGATAAATGTTCCAATCTTTGATTTGGCCAAACCAGACATGGTTTTAATGTTAAAAAGGCACTATACATACAACAAATACCTGAAATCGGAGTATTTGCAAAAGCAGTCTTTGCCACACAATAACCTTGTCCTGTGGTTACAAATAATTATCTTTAGATTAAAGGGAATTATTTAGTCCCATTTAACTAACCAGTTATAAAAACACATATTTATAAACAATTTAACTTATACTTATCACTCTGAAGAAAATTGGAATAACTTGGTTATGTTGAAGTTGAGACTAATTCATGTTCATTCCTGAAGTTGATATATGTTTTTGTGTGATATTCATTGACTTTACCAATGCAATTCTGCAAATGTATACGTGTGGTTCCCTGTATTGCTTGGATAAATAAGTGAAACTTATCAATCGAAAATTATTACAAGATACAATGTTTGATTCTGCACTACGCTTTTAAGTATTAATAGGCATTTTCAATCAAAAGCAGACATCTGAACGCAAATACATCTTACTAAAACTGAAAAAATAAATAATAAATAAAACACGAAAACGTCATACGAGTTTCAAGAGGGTATATATTGTTTGTACAAGCCACATAACGTAATCATATAACACTGCATATTCCACTGCTTCAAATAATCTGTGATCTATCTTAAACCGTTTAAACATTCATTTGTCAATTCATTCATTTTTCGTTCAAAATACGTTATACATGGACATTACGATTCCAACCCAAACTTGCACATGTTGGCCCACCTGAAGTGGATAAGGACACAACATTAGCCTTACATAGCAAAGTCTCCCCCGTTTTAACGTAACGTCATCTCACATATAGCTATACCAGTGTCGTCCAAATGGTTAGCCAACAGTACACCCAATCAGATATATTGATATCTCTCAAGGCAGTGTCTTTCATATTTTAATCTGACACCACAAGAGCTAGCTACATCTCAATGCTGTCTCAAATAGCAAATTGTCTGCAATTTACCGACCCTTGTTTTCCCTCGGAGTATAACAGTGCCTCCATAACCTTAGCGACCAGGAACTGAAGTCTACGATATAGTTACTTCGCACCACATTGGTTTCATTTGTCACCCGACCTGAGCTGATGGTCGCCTCTGTCTTACTTGGTATAATGGACATGTGTCAGAAAACCACCTGTCATGTTCTTGCTGAGGGTCATCATCATCTTCCCAGCCATCCAGCTGACCACCACAACAGTAACATTCACACAAGTCATCAACACCTGAACCAAAGATACAAAAAGAGAAATGAAAAAAATCCAGTTTGTTTGTTGTATGACTGACTAAATTTCAGAAAAGTTATTGTAAAATAGGTTGATTAGTTCATAGTTGTTACGAATTCTTATTGTTTTGTATCTAACACTTTCTAACAAATGTGCTTAAGCCTTATATAAGCTTGTTACTTTATTATTCAAACTGTTTGCTTAATACATATAGATGTCTTGAATGTGCATTACTTTTGATGTATCTGGGTTTTTTTTCATTCATAAATATCTTTTACAAATACATCAATATACCTTCACAAAATCTCACATCAATACGTTCAAACCTGCACATAATTATGACATTAAATTACATCACTTATGAATTCAAATATCATCATCATCATCATCATCATCATCATCATCATAATCATCATCATCATCATCATCATCATCATCATCATCATCAGTATGAAAACAAACATGTTATGATAAGAATGTTCACCTGCATAAAAGAATCCAGCTCTAGCAAGGTCATCCGGTGTCTGTTTAAAATGAGCTGGCCAATTACTGAAGGTTCTCAATCTGTCTATGTAAATGGAATAATAGATGTGTTTCGGGTATTTCGTGTTCCCTAGCACGTAAACAGAATGTGACGTGTCCTCCACCCTACCATCTAAATAGCACCCCTCGCTAACTCCGTGGTTCCCTGTGATATACGGCGCCACATCAATGGTTCCTAACACACCGTCCGCCACTGTCGCGTCACTGATAACCAGAGGATTTTTGAACAGACTTAAAAAGTCAGGTTCTCTGTACTTAAACCTGTCACATTTAGGAAAATGACGATAGTGTGTGATGTGGATATTTTGTCCTTCTTCAACGCCACAAAGAACTCCACCACAGTTAACACACTGCACTTTCCGTTTCTCTTCATCTATACTAAAGAAGCCATCGTCAACAAGTGCCTTTATAAATGGCTCGGTGTATTTCTGCCATTTTCCAAAACTTCTTTTTCGTAATTCTGGGTCCCTGAAATGCCGGTATCGTTCTATTGGTGGTGGAGGAGCAATATCCATTAGGAGTTTGTAAAATATTAAATTATGCCCCGTTCCTATAACAGATATATAAGAAGTGTTGAGCAAACAGGAAAATGCATGTACGTCAGTCTGTGTACGCATCGGATAGATACATGGGATATTTATATCCGCTTTTACACTTACAAAGAACGGACAAACACAATATGTTAAGCTAAAAGTATCTTAGGCCTCAAACTGTTATTTGGTTATAGACCTTTCAAGTAGGTTAATTAATATATAATTAAACATTAATAAAAAGTCGAAAAGTCATTATCAAAATAGAAGAAAAAAGTTTAAACAAACATCCTTATATATATGCTTAGCCAAATGCCTTTAAAATTGTTATAATTAAAGTCTGGGTAACTAATGCATGCTACTGGTCCCAATATGCTTACCTTGATACCCAATGCACACTACGCTGCAGTAGTAGTCTAGATTTCTATATCTTGTTTACATATGGCCTCACATACAGATGTGTGTGTTTATATACATACCGTGTTATTTACAGTGTGCGGAGTTCAAAGACTAAGTGTAGAACGAGGCGTAACTGGACTTTACTAGAGACTGGTAGAACATATACTGTGTATACTATCGGTAATTTGGAACGTCCTATAATGTTCTTGTTCTCTCTTAAACACTGGCAATAGTAAACTCTAATAAACAAAAACATGTCGTTATTTTGTCTTTGTTTTGCATTATAAACACCTCCCATGATAAACATTCACAGAATATAACAATTGCATTCAAGAAAATAGCAGCGCATTCGTGACGTCTAGTACTGTAGTCAGATCCGATAACATTTGAATATACAGTATGCCGCCTTTGTAAGTACACGTAGCCCTCAACCATGATGACTGATGGTTTCTAAACATTTTCTGCAGGTTGGTAAGTATGGATTATGAAAGAATCTTTTTTTTACACAACCAATAACATTTTCTATGTGACGTTTCGATGACTAGTACGATATCAGACAAATGACCAGTGAAGCGTATGCACACAAATGTGTAAATTGTGTACGAGTTGTCCACAAAATCACGCTGTAAGCGTATGTACAATGGTTGTTATATATGTACCGAAATGACTCGATCCAGTTATACTTTGTTTAATACTTGATCATAGATGTGCGAGAGTCTTTGAGCACCCTAATCGGAAAGAAAGCAGTCGGAGTCCTAGATAAATAATTCGGAAATCACAGACCATGCCACCAGACAAATCATATGGTTGACTGGGATAACTCCAATGTTTTGGAGAGATAGAGCAATCTGTTCAAGCGTCAGATAAAGGAAGCCATCTGGATACGCCGCAGTGGGCCAGTTATCAATCGAAACAAGGGGACTCAAAGACTCTCGCACATCTATGACACAGTATTAAACAAAGCGAAGCTGGATCGTGTCATTGGATCGAGGTTGGCCGTACCCTTCTATCTACTGGCGGAATATCAGTCCCTAAGGTTGGCCGTATCTTTGTATCTACTGGTGGAATGTCAGTCCCCGAGTTTGGTCGTATCCTAGTATCTACTGGTGGACTATAGGTCCCCGAGGTTGGCATTATCCTTGTATCTACTAGAGGACTATCAGACCCCGAGGTTGGCCGTATCCTTGTATCTACTGGTGGACTATCAGACCCCGAGGTTGGCCGTATCCTTGTATCTACTTGTGGACTATTAGTCCCCGAGGTTGGCCGTATCCTTGCAATTGTATCTACTGGTGGACTATCAGACCCCTTGGTTCGACGTATACTTGTATCTACCGGTGGACTATCAGTCCCGAGGCTGGATGTATGTTTGTATCTACTCGTGAACCATCAGACCCCAAGGTTGGCCGTATCCTTGAAATTATATCTACTGGTGGACTATCAGACCCATAGATTGGATGTTAACTTGTTTCTACCGGTGGACTATCAGTTCGAAGGTTGGAAGTATACTTGTTTCTACCGGTGGACTATCAGACCCCTAGGTTGGCCGTATACCTGTTTTTACTGGTGGACTATCAGTCTCGAGGTTGGACGTATCCTTGTATCTACTGGTGGACTATCAGTCCCAGAGGTTGGACGTATCCTTGCAATTGTATCTACTGGTGGACTATCAGACCCCTAGGTTGAACGTATACGTGTTTCTACCGGTGGACTGTCAGTCCCGAGGTTGGACGTATCCCTGTATTTACTGGTGGACTATCAGTCCCCGAGGTCGGCCGTATTCTCGTGGCCAGTGGACCATCAATCCCTGAGGTCTGCCGTATCCTTGTAGCTGGTGGACAATCAGTTCCTGCGGTTGGCCTTATCCTTGTATCCACTAGAGGACTATCAGAGCCCGGGGTTGGCCGTATCCTTGTATCTACTGGTAGAATATCAATCCCCACGGTTGGACGTATCCTTGTATCGACTGGTGGACTATTAGTCCCCGTGGTTGGCCGTATCCTTGCAGTTGTATCTACTGGTGGACTATCAGACCCCTAGATTGGACGTAAACTTGTTTCTACCGGTGGACTATCAGTTCGAAGGTTGGAAGTATACTTGTTTCTACCGGTGGACTATCAGACCCCTAGGTTGGCCGTATACCTGTTTTTACTGGTGGACTATCAGTCTCGAGGTTGGACGTATCCTTGTATCTACTGGTGGACTATCAGTCCCAGAGGTAGGTCGTATCCTTGCAATTGTATCTACTGGTGGACCACAGACACCTAGGTTGGATGTATACTTGTTTCTACAGGTGAATTATCAGTCCCGAGGTTGGCGTATCTTTGTAGCTGATGGACTATCAGTCCACGAGGTTAGACGTATACTTGTTTCTACCGGTGAACTATCAGTCCCGAGGTTGGCGTATCTTTGTAGCTGATGGACTATCAGTCCACGAGGTTGGACGTATCTTTGTATCTACCGGTGGAATGTCAGTCCCGGAGGTTGGCCGTATTCTTATGGGCAGTGGACTATCAATCCCCGAGGTTGGCCGTTTCCTTGCATTTGTTTCTTCTGGTGAACTTTCAGACCACGAGGTTGGCCGTATCCTTGCAATTGTATCTACTGGTGGACTATCAGACCCCTAGGTTTGACGTATACTTGTTTTTACCGGAAAACTATCATTCCCGAGGTTGGACGTATCCTTGTATCTACTGGTTGACTATCAGTCCCCGAGGTTGGCCGTATCCTTGCAATTGTATCTACTGGTGGACTATCAGTCCCGAGGTTGGACGTATCCTTGTATCTACTAGTGAACTATCAGTCTCCGAGGTTGGCAGTATCCTTGCAATTGTATCTACTGGTGTACCATCAGACCCCTAGGTTGGACGTATACTTGTTTCTACAGGTGAACTATCAGTCCCGAGGTTGGCCGTATCTTTGGACTGATAGTCCACCAGTATATACAAGGATACGTCCAACTTCGGGACTGATAGTCAACCGGTAGAAACAAGTATACGTCCAACCTAGGGGTCTGATGGTTCACCATTAGATACAATTGCAAGGATACGGCCAACCTCGGGGACTAATAGTCCACTAGTAGATACAAGGATACGTCCAACCTCGGGACTGATAGTCCACCAGTAGATACAATTGCAAGGATGAGGTTGGACGTAACCTTGTATATACTGGTGGACTACCAGTCCCCGAGGTTGGCCGTATCCTTGTATTGACTGTTGAACTATCAGTCCCCGGGGTTGGCCGTATTATCGTGGCCGGTGGACTATCAATCCCCGAGGTTGGCCGTATCCTTGTATCTATGGTGGACTATCATTCCCCGAGGTTGGCCGTATCCATGTAGCTGGTGGACTATCAGTCACGGAGGTTGGTCAAAACCGTGTTATTGTAATTAATTCTGATACGGTTTACATAAAGTACTTTTAATATGCGTATAAACGATCTGATGTAGCCTTAAGTAAACGGGGAGGAAACTGACGCATCCAAACGAAATACAACATAATTACAATTGTACCAAACCATATTCTAAAAGTCCAATCAAGTAAATAGAAAGGAATTACACTTAAACATAAACACGGGACAAACATCTATTACAATATAACATCACACGCAAAATGAATTGATTTTCTAAAGCGCATATATAAGGAGTCATTAGAAATAGATAAAAAAATATCACCTTTTAACAAACTTAGGTTATTGAGTATCTGAAACTTAAACCCAGAAAAAACACGCTATTGTTAGACAAACATTAACATAATATTATCCCCTCTAGGACCAACACTACACTATATAGAAATAGTGCAAGGAACACTACGTCCTGTTTACAACAGGTTCAGTAACACTTTCAAAACACGCTATAATGATTAACACACAACACAGATTTAGTCAGACTTTCTAAACATTTTCTAATGATTAACACACAACACAGATTTAGTCAGACTTTCTAAACATTTTCTAATGATTAATTCACAACACAGATTTAGTCAGACGTTCTGAACACTCTAAAATGATAAACTTACAGACCGGATTAAGTGAGACGTTCTTGACACTCTATAATGGTAAACTCACAAGCTGGATTTAGTCAGACGTTCTAAACACCCTATAATGATGAGCTAACAGACCGGATTAAGTCAGACGCTCTAAACACTTAATAATGATAAACCCACAAACAGTAGTTTGTGAGACGTTTTAAACACCCTATTATGATTAACTCACAACACAGATTTAGTCAGACGTTCTAAACATTCTATAATGATTAACCCACAACACAGAGTTAGTCAGACGTTCTAAACACTCTATAATGATTAACCCACTAACAGTAGTTTGTGAGACGTTCTAAACACTCTATAATGATTTACTCACAGAACGGATTTAGTCAGATGTTCCAAATAGTTTATAATGATTAAACAATAACACACATTTAGTCAAACGTCCTAAACACTTGATAATGATAAACCCAAAACCCGGATTTAGTCAGAAGTTATAAACACTCTATAATGATTAACGCACAGACCGGATTTAGTCAGACGTACTAAACACTCTATAATGATTAACCCACAGACCGGATTAAGTCAGACGTTATAAACATTCTATAATGATTAACCCACAACACAGATTAAGTCAG